CGGCGGCGGCGCGGAACGGAGCCGCCGACTGCCGGGCGGCTCCGCAGCATCCCCACGGCCTCCTGCGCGCATCCCCGGCCGCTTACCTGCGCGGCGCTCAGGCTCCGGAGCCCATTCACATGGTCCTCTCCCCGCCCTCCTCCGGCGCGGCCGAGGCGGCTCCGGCTGCTCCTTGGCGGGTCCCGGAGCCGGGGGCCTTCTGAGAGCGCAGAGGGGGCGGTGCCGGGGTGTCCCCGGCCCGGCCGCGGGATCCCTCTGTAGCGCGGGCGGCGGCTTTGTGTGAGCCCGGGAGCCCTCGGTGCGCGGGGAGAAGCGCCGCGCGCCCGGACGGCGGAGGACGCGTGGCTCCGAGAGCAGCCTTGCCTTTGCTCCGCCGCGGGCCGGCAGGCGGGTCTCGAGGGCCTTCGGCTCGCGGCGACCCCTCCTCCTCTCCCACGGCAGACCCCTCCCCGCCGGCTCCGCTTCTGACAGATGGCGCAACTGCAAAGACGCGCCGCCTGCTCGCAGCTACTCCCGCTGATGCTCGCGCCCCTTCAGTCCCGGAGGGAAGCGAGGATGGGGCAGGACGTGCCTTGAGAATGGCAGCACCCACCGCCCAATCAAGAGGTCCCTTGAGAGCTGCGGGCGGCGACCATTGGTTCCCAGGGACGGGGGCGGGACTGCAGTGGGTGGGGCTTCTTAGTGGTTACAGCGTTACTGTGGCAGCCGGCCTCCTGGCGTGCGTGCTGTGTGGGGTGTGCTAGGGGGTGCGAGGCTGGAGGAGTTTTTTTAAAAAAGGATTGTTGATTTGTGAGGTGGTGGGTTAGGGCGGGGAAAGGAGAGGAGGTGTGAGCTGCGGTTTGTGCTTTGCAGAAGGTTGCTAATGCCACTGTAAACTGAATCTCCCATTCCCCCAAACATGGGAACCTGTCTCGAAAATGGGGTGTCTTGCCTTTCTGGAGTCTTTTCATTTGAGGGTGGGAGGATAAAATGGGAAAATGTTAGAGTGGGAAAGCGTTTCTTCTGATCAAACTGAAAAGAGTGCAGAGCAAGATAGAATTCCACTACAGAAACCTGGAAAAGCTGGGAGAACCCTGGAAACACACAACAAATAATAACAAAAGAAAAAGAAAAAAAGTTAGGGACTAATTTATTTGTCTCCTATTTTCGTGAATACACATGTATATTTATTTTCAAAGAAAAATCTCGAGGAAGGATTACCGAAATGGGGAGAGACAGGAAGGCGGCGACTAAGGAACCCACAATCACAGAGTAGAGATTGGCTTGTACATTTTTTCCCAAAATCATGTTTAATTGTAGCCAGCAGTTGTCTTTGATTTCTCATGGCTTTTTCCCTCCACTTAATCTGAGCTTTTGCTCAGCTTTCCCTTGATGAAATAATCGACGGTTTAGTATACAGTTGGGAGTGCATCAGTCTTTATTTCCTATCCAGCTTTTCTATGGCAGGATGTAACTTCATAAAAAGAAACACGTTGGCTTCCTGATTTGCTTTATAGGTAATTCCTGTTTACTGAAAGTTCTGCTTCAAGGCATGCCCAGAATCATTCTCCTTGATGATTTTGGCAAAAACTCTCCCTCGCTTCTCAGCAAATCTAAGTTCTAAGAAATATAAGTGAATCAGCTTTCTGCTTCTATGCTCAAATCTATAATATTACCTTTCCTGCCCACTAATTAAAAAAAAAAAAAAAATCAGTCACTTTTGCTGACTTTTCTTTTTGTACTCAGTAGGTTTTTTTTTTTTTTTTTTAGGTTGCTAACATTTATTAAATGATCCCCATTGTATGGATGAGGAAACTGAGGAAAGGTAATACACAAAAGTAAACTAACTGAAGGTGATGGATAGTACAGGGTGGTTACTTTTTTTTTCGTTTTTAAACAAAACAATAAATTAAACCATGTTTAAATTGTGTGCCTGGTAATTCATTCCATAGTCCCAAGAAATGCAACCACAGCTAGGTCTAGAAGATTTCCATACAAGAGAACGCCAACTTCCTCTAGCCAAGAATTGCATATCTCAAGAGAAAGGACTCCTCTTGGTCAGTGGTTACACCTCCATGAGTGTCCTGGATTTGTTGAGCCTGGGATGGACAGGGAGTTTCATAGATCAATGTTTCTCAAACGTTAGGGTGCATCAAAATTACCTGAATGGGCTTGTTAAAACACAGATTGCTGGCCTCCACCTGTGGAGGGTCTGATCGGCTAAGTTTGGAAATGGAGCCTAAGAATTTATACTTCTAACCGGTTCCCAGATGATGCTGATGCTGCTGGTCTGGAGACCACATCTTGAGAACCACTAGTGGTGGGCTGTCCAGAAGCCATACACGGTTAATGAGTACTTGAAATGTACTTGAGTACTTAAAATGTGACTAGTGGAAATTGAGATGTGCTATAAGTGTAAAGAACACATTGGACTTACAAGATGTAGCCTGAAAAACAAGAATGTAAAGTATCCAATTAATAATTTTTATATTGATTACATGTTAAAATGAAAATAACCTGTTTGTACTGTGCTAAATAAATGCATTATTTAAGTTAATTTCACCTGTTTCTTTTACTTTTTTAATGTAGCTGCTAGAGAATTTAAAATAAATGTGGCTTGCATTATATTTCTATTAGACAGCACTGACCTAGAGGGATAGAGTTGTTTCTGATTCCAGCTCCACGGTGCTCTGGTGAGAGCACCTTGATGAGGCAAGACACTTACTCTTTCCGGATTTTAGTGTCCTTATATACAAAATGGGAGAAATAGTGATTCAATCTCACACTAACCTCATCTGTTACAAGAAAAGTCATTGTCAGGATATAGTCCTTGGAATTCCACATTAGATTCAATTCATTTTATACAAAATCTGGAGCAGGTAGGGCAAGCGGTGTCGTAGCTTATGACTTCATCAAAAGGAGTCACTTTTTGGCATCTGCAACTGATAGCTTCTTAATCTAATTAGTGAACAAAAAGAAGAGACAATGAGATTAAAATGACAGATTAACCTGCTCCCATTAAGACTTCATCCTGTTTTTGTAATTCTTTCCTCGCCTACCATTTTATCTGCTGCTCTTCTTAAACGTAGCTTTAAATGGATTTGGCCTCCTTGAGAGGATTTGCTAATGGTCTGCACAAATGTATCCAAAACCCAAAAACAAACCCTTTGCAATGGAGTGCATTCCAACCCATAGCGACCCTATAGGACAAGTAGAACTGTCCCATAGTGTTCCCAAGGCTGCAGTCTTTACAGAAGTAGACTGCCTCATCTTTCTTCTGTGGAGAGGCTAATGAGTTCCAACTGCTGACCTTTGCAGCCAAGCACTTAACCACTGTGCCACTAGGGCTCTTTGAATAAGTGTATAAACCAAAACCAAACCAGGCTCAATTCTGACTCATAGGGACCCTGTAGGACAGAGTAGAATTGCCCCATAAGGTTTCCAAGGAGCGGCTGGTAAATTTGAACTGCTGACCTTTTGGTTAGCAGCCAAGCTCTTACAAGTGTATGTTGTTGTTGTTAGGTGCCGTGGAGTTGGTTCCGACTTACAGTGACCCTACGTACAACAGAATGAAACACTGCCTGGTCCTGTGCTATCCTCACCATCATTGTTATGCTTTAGCCCATTGTTGCAGCCACTGTTTCAATCCATCTTGTTGAGGGTCATCCTCTTTTTCGTTGACCCTCTACTTTACCATGCATGATGTCCTTCTCCAGGGACTGGTCCCTCCTGATAACATGTTCAAAATATTTGAGACTAAGTCTTGCCATCCTCACTTCTAATGAGCATTCTGGCTATACTTCTTCCAAGACAAATTTGTTCGTTCTTCTGGCAGTCGATGGTGTATTCAATATTCTTTGCCAACACCATAATTTAAAGGCATCGATTCTTCAATCTTCCTTATTCATTGTCCAGCCTTCACAAGCATAGGAGGTAATTAAAATACCATGGCTTAGATCAGGTGCACCTTAGGCCTTAAAGTGACATCTTTGCATTTTAACACTTTAAGGAGTCTTTTGCAGCAGATTTGACCAATGCAATGGGTCGTTTGATTTCTTGACTGCTGCTTCCATGGGCATTGATTGTGGATCCAAGTAAAATGAAATCCTTGACAACTTCAATTGTTTCTCCTTTTATCATGATGTTGCTTACTGGTCCATTTGTGAGGATTTTTGTTTTCTTTATGTTGAGGTGTAATCCAGACTGAAGGCTGTAGTCTTTGATCTTCGTCAGTAAGTACTTCAAGTCCTCTTCACTTTCAGCAAGCAAAGTTGTGTCACCTGCATAACGCAGGTTGTTAATGAGTCTTTCTCCAATCCTGACACCACGTTCTTCTTCATATAGTCCAGCTTCTCAGATTATCTGTTCAGCATACAGACTGAAAAAGTATGGTGAAAGGATACGACCCTGATGCACACCTTTCTTGACTTTAAACCACGCAGTATCCCCTTTTTCCGTTTGAACAACTGCCTCTTTGTATAAGTGCAGGTTCCTCATGAGAACAATTAAGTGTTCTGGAATTCCCATTATTCAAAATGTTATCCATAATTTGTTATGATCCCCACAATCAAATGCCTTGGGACAGTCAATAAAACACAGGTAAACAACTTTCTGGTATTCTCTGCTTTCAGCCATGATCCATCTGACATTAGATGGATTATTGAAAAAGATGTGGATACTATCTCCCATTTTGATCCACTGTGAAGATCTCTGCAGGGAACTTGATTAAAAATCCATGATACTGTTCCTGGCTACCTAAGGGAAGTCATATTGTCCTCACACTCCCCAACTGTGTTTTCTTATGAATAGCTTCTATTATACATATTAGAACACAGGCATTGTTCTAGAATTTCTCTTTGACTTGATCGGTACTGGTCTGACTGTTCTAGAGTTTCTCTTTGATTTGATTGGTATTTTATTTTTCTATTTCTTTTACCTTAAAATTTCAATATATATCCTGGGTTTATTTTGACTCATCTGAATTTCTTATTCTCTTCTGAAGTAACATTTTTCTTACTTTTAACCTTATTGGTTAACATATTTTCTTGCCTTATCATTACATTTTAGTTTTACTTGTCAATTCAGTAGCAAAACAAAAGACAAGCGTAAGAATCCATAATATGGAGTTCATAAAAATCAACAACAAAATAAAGATGAACACCTCAACTGAAAAATATATGCAAAAGAAATATACTCCAAAATGTCTAGTAAAAGTGAGAAAAGGTTCACCTTCTCTTGTAAGTAAAGCAATGCAAAGATACAGTTTTTCAACTATGCGGTTGGTAAAAGATATAAAAGAATGTAGGGAAATGGATACTCATACAGTTTAGTGGGAATGTTAACTAAGACAGCATTTCTAATGGGCAACACCAGTAACA